TCTCTACTTGCTCATGTTTTCGCAGACATTTGAAGTAACGCTAAGTCTTATTCTAAAGCAAAACTGGCAGTCACAGCAGAATAAAACTCCATTTAGGTGAGGAACACGTGTAAGAAGCCACAAAAAAGAGTCCTGAATGGAAATAAAAAGTCATCAGTCAATCTTTGGTTTTAAAAAATGAAAGGTGAAAAAAACCCAAAAAGGTCAAAATAAGTGCGTTCTCCTGGAAATACACACGAGACGTAAGGACAATCACATGGTGATTAGACTTAAACTACTTGATCATCATCTATAACCTAGGTAATGATCTTTAGCAATTTGGGGTATAAGATAAAGATAGACCTATTCATACTCCTGGACAATTCAAGATAAATGTTAACAACATTTTAAATAGTTGGGATTTTGAAGGGACACGAATTCCCTTAGGTTTATGCTCTTGGTCCAGTGACCTGCCTAGTGCTACTTAATATTTCTCCAGAGATTTAGAGAAGTCATGGTGTTGGTTTATCTGCTTCCAGGGCAAGAGGTAGAATTTTAGACTGCCGTAGGGCTGCTAAGGTTTCTATGTAAGGAGAGCCACATACCACAGTCCCCAGGATATCTTAAAGTCTTCTGCAAGTCCCTCCTTTCAGCACCTCTCTCCCATCACTCCTAAACCTGTGAATTGGTAGGTCATGACGCTGGCCCAAGGATTGTGATAATGTATGTGATGTCTATGGATAAGAGCAGTCTTAAACAATGCTGCAGTGTAAATAAGAATTAACAACAGACCATTTATCATCCAGTTTCTTGACGCAGGAGGCTCCCAAGCAAAGAGCAAAGCACAACCAGAGAGACGCCTGCACTCTGTATTAACCAGAAGTCAGACAGGGTTAATAAGAAGCTTAGAGGAAACTTACAGAAGCTGTAATTGTGTCTTAAGTGATACCTGGAAACTTGTGTTACACTTGAGTCAAGATGGTTGCAAGATTATGTGTGCTTAGAAGTGTCCCATCCTCCAGCTCTGCACTGAGCATAGCTCAGGCAAGTAGCAGAATCTGTCCCTTAGGCTTCTCCACCACTGACATATTCATGGTCTGTGTATAGACTTATTAGGAAGCAAGGAGAGAGAAGACACAAAGAGCCAATTGAAGACAGACAGCGATTTAAGGGAGTCCACATGTACACATGCACCTTGTGGGTTTCTTTGTGGAGGGCCCTTGCTAGTCTGAATATACCCTGTGCACCATGGGGTATTTTCAAGTCTTTATCATCATGTCTCTTCAGCAGTCTTAATAGAGATGTTGAAATGCTATATTGCAATTGTTGTGTTGAAGAGAAAAAACAAAAACTAATGAAATTATTTATACTTCCAGGGAAGAAAACAATGAGATGATATTGTCTTGATGACCTTTCCTAAGCATAGGGATATAGCATCTTACACAATAGACTCTTGGTTCATGTTTCAATTACTGACCTTTACAGTGGAGAAAATTAATGCAATTTTCATCGTAATCCACCCGTACAAATAAGATCCATACAGAAGGTTTCCACATGCTGAATCTAACTCAAATGGAAAATGTCAGCTGTTTGCTACTGGATGAATTTGACTTTAATTTGTTTGGCTGGAGTCTTTCTGAATTGTGTTCATCAAACTTTGTATATTTTTTTGTACCTATTTTTGACAGAGAATTTCCTACATTAGAAACATTGGAATTTCGGGGGGATTTTTCCCACTGTTCTTTTTTCCAATACATGAGGTACTAAACATTTCTTGGAAGTTGCCAAATAACTTGGCTTACAGCTACAGTGTTGTCTGATACTTCCCTATTACATCCCACTAGCCAAGCAGCGTTATATTGGCTCACCACTGGATTGAAACCATCCAAAAAAAACCCCAAAACAAACAAAACCACCACCACCACCAACAAAACACACAAAAAATACCTCTCAAAACACAACAGCAATTGTTGTTGATTTAGTTTCTTTCTCTGGTTTTCTTTTGATTCAGCTACTAGACCTGGAATTAGTGGTCATTTAAGTTTTGTCTGTTTGGAAGAGAAGCAAACTTTTATCCATACCACTTAAGATCAGGAGAAGACTCTTTACAGTTGGGTGCTATGACACAGTCATTAACCAGGCAACTGTCTGCTCTTGAAGCTATACAGTCATTGTCAGAAAAGGAAAAAAACGTAGTAAAATAAATAGACACAGTCAACAATCAAACAACTTGCACTGAGCTGCATGTAACTTGTCTATACCTTCCTACTGGCAGGCAAAAGATGTTTTGGTGATGTAATTTTAAACCAGTCTTATTCAGACAGCTTGACAGACCCCAGAGCTGACATGATACAGCTTGAACTCCATGTCCAAGATGGCACAAATCCGAGAAGGCATTCATCCACTGAAGAGCTTGTGCCAAAGGGACAGAGCTCTCTTATCTTTTACAGTCCTCCATGCTGGTATTTGGGGAGGGCGGAGGGGGAAAGGAAGAGGGAGTTAGCAATTAAGCCCTGTCATTTAAGACAGATAGTTTAGGTGGAGGGAGTTAATCTGCTCTTGGGTTTTTGAACTAAGTGTCTGTGTATCTCCAATTTGTAAACAGTTCATCTCTTAGAGGGTGTGTTACAATTCCCAGAAGCATGGTCTGTTATGTCTAACATGCAGCAGAACCAGAAAGGCTATGTGTGTGAGTATTTTGATACAGCACGATGATAGGAAACAGAAACAGTGACCTCGTATACCACAACCCAACTAGCAGATTCCAACTTTAGGAGCTCTTGTATTAGGGAGGAAAAAAAAATACACAGACTTCTTTTTAAAGTATAGTTGTCTGTTTAAATGTTGACATTGCTATGAGATAGTGTCATAAAATTACATTTTTCTTACACTCCCTAGAGAGCATTGACCACCCTCAGACTTGGAAAAGTCACTTGGAATAACCTAATGTACTTAAACATGCAAGTCGTCAGAGTGTAAACATGGTCCATTGCTGGTGCAAAGGAGGAAGATACCCAGGACGGGACAAAGACATTAAGGCGATGTTGCACAGCACTTGACATGGGACACATGTAGTGACTGGCAATTCTCTGTCCTGCTAATTCTGTCAGGATTCCACAGACCCATAACACTAGTATATCAATTAATACAAGTTATGAATTATTATTGCTGTGATGTTGGGATATAAAGCGTTACCTTGATGAGAAAGCCTGCTGGAGGTATCTACTGCTTTAGCCAGTGCTACCAGCTTTCCATTTCAAAGAGCACATGCATGAAATGGAGATGGAGGCAATGTTGGTTACAAAATGGCAGGGCAGCTCTACATTGACTCTCAGGAGTTTTCCCACACCTGCATACTTAGTTAAAAGAAACCAAGAAAGAGGATGACAGTGGAATTGCTTTGGGAGGGAGGCTGGGGGGGGGGGGGGGGGGTATTGCGGCAAAAATGTAAAGCAATCAGATCCCTATTTAAGTGGCCCAGTTGTATTTATAGAGAGAACCTAAGTCACTGGAGATAAATCTAGGGTAAATGTAAGCTAGAATATTTTGGCTTTGCAGCAATAAATCTCTTTCACAGCACAGGAAACAGAGGATTAAATACCTATTTAATACATTTTAACTTGTTTTTTTTTCACCTCAGCACTTGCAAATGAGAAAGGCATATGAAAAAAGTAAGACAGTTAATGGGATTATTTCCAGCAAGTAAGTTACATCTTTAGGCATCACATAAATAAGATGTAGGCTCAATATTTACAGGTGTCTAACTTTGGGTACCCACAGAATATAGATTATTGACTTTTAGAGGTACACAGTGTTCCTCTGGAAAAGATGAGACTTTCATTTAAACAACTTCTGGTGAGTCCCAGATATTGGTCCATTCGGTTGACCAATTTCACAATGCAGAGAGTAAATTATAAATGGGAACATTTAAATGTGAAACCTGTAATTCAGCTTTATAACTTTGACATATTTCTGGTTTCTCATTAAAATATAACCACCACAGAAGAGCAGGTTAAGTTTAAATAACTATTGCCATCAATTAGTCTGCCGCACTTCAATTCTAGTGTCTGAGACTGAGAAGAGTTAAGGTGCACTTGCTAATTGTGGTATTGATTTACTTCTCAATGATCAACAATTTCATTGCAACACTTTTAAAACATAGAATATTCAAAAGTCTTATTAACTTAGTATGCAATTTGAAAGTTTCACATTGCCTTGTGAACATTTTCTTCCTAACAGCTAATGTTCCTCTGCATGCTGTTGCTCGTTAAATAATTCCTCACCTTTTAGCTTTAAAGTATTTATAGATTATCAGATCCTCCTTCACTTACTTATGTTTTTTCAAGCTGTATACATTAAGTTCTCTTAATCTTTCTTCAGATGTCATGCCCTCTAATCCTTTTATCATTTGTCACTGTGGTTTGATAAACTTGGAAAAAAAAATCCGATGAATTTTTCATAGTGAGAAGAATGAGTAAGTACACTCCAAGAAAATACAAAACAGGCCTTGCCAATCCCAATTCTTTCTACATTTCAGCCAGAGAACTAAAACCCAGGCTCTTAAAGAAATGTTGAGAAATTCTAACCAATTCTCCACAAATCACACCAATTCTACGGAAATTAAAATGCCAAATCTTTTGGGGAAAGCCATGAGCACAGAATGTGGTCCAACACTGGAAACTGAAGTGGAGGGGTTTATGCACACTTGCATTTCTTTGCACCTTGCCCACCCATACGCATGCCTATCGGTACACATACATGAACATGTGCCTGTTATGATTTCAAGCACAAACTGGGGACTGCTCAGATTCAGTTAATGTTCAGAGGTCTCTCACAGATACCACCACTATGGAATGTTATACAAACCAGCCTTTTCATATTTTCAAATTTGCCAATGAGCAAACTAGTAACAATTGGTTTTTCCAGTTAATACACATAATATATGAAGATCTCATGGAAATAGGATGGTGGGGGTGTGCTCTCCCACGTTCCTTCTGATTCTAGCTAAGAGATATGCTTACCTTATCATCTTCATCCTCATCTTCATCCAAGCCCATAAGCTCCTGCAAAAGCAGATGTCCATGTTTCAAAATGCTACACTTATTTTTCAGTGACAGGCAACATTTGTAAGGCTTCTAATACTCCCACAGCATTTCATTACACAGTTTTCTCCCACTTCTACTGCAAGTCATCAAAAAACCCCACTGCTTTCACCTTTCAGAAATAACACTTTGTATTCAACGACTTTTTGGGGGTTTTTTGTGGTATCCTGAACAAAGCCTGCAACACCCTATACAAATTTTAAGTCTAAATAAAGCATTAGTGGCTGTACCCAGTAGTTTGAAGGCAACAAGCTTTCAAATTCATTGACAACTTATACTGTCTGTAAACAGCTTTGTTCTTAGTCTGACAAATGAACCAGCTGGCATGTCAAGGCTGAGGACTCTATACTCAACTTGTTCCATCCTTGCTGCTACAGTGACTGTTCCCTCCCTTTAGGGCCATTACTGAAACATTAGACTTTAGAAAATACATTCAGATAAACATAATCAATCTCACAAATCACAGTCAGCTTTCTATGCAGCATTATTTTCTCCCTTCAACTTTTATGCTGACAGGTACGGGAGAAAACGAAAGACTTGGCTAAGGCTTAAAATTAGGAGCACTTGGCTTTCAATTCAGGTATTTAATAATCTGAGCCTTTAACAGGGTCCTCCAAGTTCTTCTTGGTTATTTACTAGGTACAATTGATTCGCTGCATTACAAGTTTAAATACAGCAAACATGCGAAGAATGTGAAGAATCACAATAAAAAGATGGTTTGGATTTGTGTTTTAAAGCAGTTGTATTTAGTATGCTCAAATACCCAGATATACTCTTTGGCTCTCTGGAACACCCCAAACAGCTGAATTAACACTGAGCATGGTTTACATTTCTACAGAAACTTCCCATCTGTAAATCATAAACCATTTTACCTATATTCATGAATTTAGCCTCCTGGCAACTGCATCATGTGTACAAGGTTAATACCATTATTTCCATTTTATAGCACAGAAATCAGAGAGAATTCGAGGTCCACTTTTGCACAGTGTTACTCGCATTCCTCTATATACATGAAACGTGCATGCTGGCACCCAAAAACCAAAGGTAGTGCATATGCAGCCAAGGTCTAAAGAAGCAAAAAATAAATAAATGACTGTGTAAAAGGCATTGGTAGTTTGAAGAAAACCTTTTCTCATCTGCAGGACAGATGTGACATAGGGTAGCACCTGATTGTCTATCTCTGACCTACAGATGGTTAGAATCACAGACACACATAAAAAAGAAATCAGGTAATATTAAAGGCACTTTGACTACTTGTTCCATATGATCCCAATCCTGCAAAGCGCTTAGGCAGATGTGTAACTTTGCTTATGCAGAATGCACCCCTGAATTTCACGGCATTGCACTGCTCACAGGGTGTGTGACAGGAAAAGGGCCAACTTTCTGATGGGCATTTCTTCAGTATTACTACAATTAACCTGTACTTTCAGGTACAGCCTTTTGTAGTATCCACTTAAATGAGGTACTGCTCAATTTTGCTGACTTACATGAAATTCTCCTCACTTGAACATGCAACAAACTCACTACAAGATGAGTGATGGGCACTGGAAGATATTCTGTGTGTATTTTTTTCTGGGTAAGTCATTATTTTTTTATCACCTTTTGTATTAAAACCAAAACCACCTGTTTGCCTGGGATTTTCCCATATAGGAAGTTCTCATTTTGTAGATGCGATGAAGTAGTCACTGAAGACACACAGTATCTTTCTGTGTTATTCTGGACTTAGTTGAAATTGGAGAAAAATATTTCTTTCACCATGTTTGCACATCAAGTCTATATCCTAGACCAGATAATGCAACTTTCCATACTTTCTAACAATCTTTCCTCTTGGAAACAGATGGAAACTGAACTAGGCGCAACTTTTCTCACTAAAACTAATAAACCAGCTATTGGCCTTTTTAATTATAGGATATTATTTCGTTGTAGAAAATCCACTTGATTCATTTGAGCGAAAGTATACCTCATGGGTACAAATGTTAATCATTTTTTTATAAGAAGTTAGAAAGACTCTATAATTCAACCTGTATTTCATTACTGTACTTATTACACATTTAAAACCAGAATATTATGGACATCCATGAATTTATTTTCACTTCTAACTGTAATTACCATTGTTCTGTAAGTAAAGACAGTGTCCAACATCAAACAGCATTTCACACCCCAGCTGTAGCACTTTGGCACACATCTTGTAATTATTTTTATATTTAAGTCTTTTTTTCTCCCAGATCAAGTTAAAAAAACTGAAGGCTAAATTTCTGGGTGGGGGAAAAAAGCGTTTGTCATTTAAAGGGGGGTGGGAAGGAGGAATAAGGGCTTCCTAAAGTCTCAATCACAGGAAAAGGTTTAAAAATAACTTCTCCTTTGGCTTCTATTGACTTTCCTCTTCTGTGAATCATTAGTGTGACGCAAAGTGTAAGAGCAATAGGGGCATGGGTTTTAGGAACTTGTCGCTTTGTAAGTCTTTCTCATTTCAACTTAAAAACATTTGTAGTTATTTAGTAAGTAAAATCCCCCTCCTACACACTCTCGTCGTCTTCTCCTACTACTCTGAATAGATTATTGCTTGAACTGAATCATGAACATTGAGAGGGTTGATGTTTCTTTTCAGTAAATTCGCAACAGAAATGCTGTTTAGTGACACAATTTGCTTAATACCATTAAAATGTGTAACATTTTGCTCATGGGTAAATTCAATCTGGGGATGCCAGAAATGTTACTGCCACTTTACTTGCCTGGGCATCTTGGGTGTTGTTGACCTTCCCTGTTGTGACGAGGGAGAAGTTGTATGCAAAGAGCACCAGCAGAGCCAGGGGCACCATGTACAGTTCCACGGTCCAGACGGTGACCACGAATACCTGGGAGAAATAAAACAGCAGAAGGGAATACATACAAGTGTTTAAAGAGAAAGGCATATAAGCAAGCCTTTCGGTCATTATGCCTACATACGTTCATCCTTGAATATCTGTTAACCTCATTCATACTATTATTTTGGCAAAGAAAATCTGCTCGCAAAGCGTGCTCTCTTTCTATTCTGTTTGAGCCCATTAGGCTGCTGTTTCATAGCTTCTCCTCCCCTGTATATGGTGAAGTACAAGGCCAGGAACATAAGGGTAGTCTGAAGGCTTTATTCACTTCTTCCTTGGACCCCCTCAAGCCTGAAAGCCTTTTGTGCTCAGTGCTAGTGAATAACAGACCCACTTACAGAGGTGAACCTGCTCCACTTGATCAAACCCTAATTGCGAGGGGGTCTTTCACAGGCTAGGAGAGTTTCTTCCTATTGTGTAACAGGAACCATCCATCTCCCTTGTCACTCTACAAGGGACGATCAGCAAATGAATCTTCACCATTAATCCACCTATGTTCTCAGCACAGCAGCATCATTTCCTTCCAGGAGGCAAGGACCTAGGTCACATATAATTTTGGAAAGGGATCCAGTAAACCTAGTCTCCATTCTCATACCCTTGCCATTTTCCAGCATATTCTGATTTCACTGGTTGCTTGGAGACTCGCTACCCAGAAACAGTATGAGTTTGTTCATTTGGAGTGGTATCTGACAAAATCCACTAATAGCAAAACCAGAAAACAAGTTTTGAAGTTCTGTTCAGCAAACTGGATCAGCAAAGCACGTAACTAACATGACAGGGATTTAAAAATCACTTAGGATCTAAAAATCCCGATACCAAGCCAAGCTGCAAGCCTATCTTGCAGTACCAACGATACCTGAACAGACGGCAAACTTGGAGTGGTTGGCAATACAAAGTTAATAAACTAAATCCAGAGCTGCCGTAAAATGCATGTTGTGATCCCATTTCCTTTTCTACTCACACATAGTGTTTCCAGAACTGCCTAATGCTGGTAGTAACCTGAAGCTATTTTAAACAATCTCCTCTAAAGACAAAGCACAAACACATTTAACTGCTTTTTCTTCCTCCAAAGGAACCTGAGTTGATCAGAAACAAAAATCACATTTTTTGATTAATACAGGTAGGTGAAAATTAGTCAGATCCAGGTAAAGCATCTCAAACTGCAACAAAATGGAAACTCTATGGGTGATCAGAAAGCTAAATCTCTCTCTCACTTCATCCTTGGCCCATTAGATATTACATATATAAAAGCAACACTGGCACTTGCAGAATGGGATATTTATGGCCATGTATTTTTGTGTTATGTGTGTGAAAGTCCAACCACACTGTACCAAAGAAGCACTTCCCACTGCATTCAGCATGGTGAGAATATACCCCTACAAAACAGCAGTTGGTATAATTTCAAAACAGAAAGACTTGTCTGACATCAGGCAAATGGTCAGTTAATATCTACCATGGGCCAAACATAAACCAAGAAACAATGACTATCTGTAACCTTGCCCAAACAGCAGTTGCATTTTCAAGAGTGAACCTGATTTTACGTTAGCTGCTGCTATGCAAGGAATTAGACTGTCATCCTGTTCTTGGCATTTGTAGGCCAGTAAAACAATCTCTGAGATATATTCATTTATAAAACGGGCTGACATCCAGACAATAGATCCCCATACCATTGATTTGCAGCATAGGAATGTAGAAGAGGATTTGTTTTGTTTTTTCTTTCTGATCCCGATTTTCAACATGCTAGAAAATTAGGAGTGATAATGATTCCAACAGCCACATTTTATATGCAAACAAGGCAACAGAAACACAAGAATCCTGGCCAATAAGGCATGGTACTCGATCTGTCTTACAGACGTCTTGCACGGCTTTAGGTAATAAAGACTTCAAAAACTGTTATATTCCAACCTAAAAAGTCCTCCCTAAATGGAAAGTTCTAACCAGAACAAGTTCCTCTGAAGCTATTCCAACTCCCTTGCTTTGTAAGACAAAGTGAAGCTGATACCAGCTCCTGTCCTACCTCAAATGTCACTCTAAAGAACAAAGACCTGTTATTGTACATATCTATACAGATATCCATCTCAGGTATATATAGAGAGATAAAAACAGATACGCACATATAAATACATCTGATCCTTATGTAAACTACTTCATGGAAATTCATATTGCCAGGTATTAATTCAAAACATTTGCTTCAGCCTGTTGGAGGAGGTTGCATTTACATCGTCTCCGTGGGGTATTACAAACTCAGTCTTCTCTTAACACAGCAAAAAGACTCCACCAGCAGTCAGCTAGGCAAAGTCCTACAAGAGTCAATGAAGCTCTTGAAGAACCTCTCTTCATTCATTCAATTGCAGGACTTGAACCAATTTTAGTGCATCTGTCACCATCCTATATGAACATCACCCTGCTCGGTTGCAAGTATAATACAACCTTGCAATCACGGGTCATTTAGGCAAGATACAAAATCAAGACCTTGGTGATTTTAGATCCAACAGTACATTTTGTGTATTATTAAGTTTCAGACCTTAAAACTTAATTACAAAATCTCACTGTAGTCTCAAATTGATAGCTGAAGCATACTGTCACTTCCTTTCTAATGCTGACTAGTTAATTGGTTGCTGAGTAATATCTCAGGCTGCGATGCTTTGATAGAGCTCCCACATCTCCTTAAGAAGAGTTGTTTTACTGCTACCGCCGCAGTAAAGGGAACTTTCATTACTGTGACACAACACAGACACAAGACAAATTGATTTAGCTATTCAGAAATTATTTAGCCTCGGAGGTATGGGAAATGGTTGCTGTGAACACAGACTACATAATAAAAGTTCAGAGGGTGTTTATAAAGTGAATAGAAATATTTCTGCATTCTAACAGCCTTTTGAGTAGTTCTGCAACATTGGTTTTCAAAGCAGTTCCCAAACAGGCCCGTGTCCTATTTTATCAGCAATCATGCAGCTCCCTGACACTGACTTCAGCATCAGCAGCCCTGTGATATGGACACTCACTCCTCAAATTACAAGGATCTCGATTGTGCATGTTTTTATTCTCTCTCCAGTGACACCTTATGCCTTGGAGAAGCCCCACGTCACCCTCCCTGAATTATTTTCTTAGTGTTATTTTTTTGACAAAACTGGAGAATGGTTCAGCTGCTGACGTATAGAATCACAGAATGGTTTGGGTCAGGAAAGATTTTAAGATCATCCAGCTCCAACCCCCTGCTATGGACGGAGACATCTTCCACTAGAGCAGGTTGCTCCAAGCCCCATCCAACCTGGTCTTGAACACTGCCAGGGACGCGGCAGCCACAGCTTCTCTGGGCACCCTGTGCCAGCGCCTCACCACACTCACAGTACAGAATTTATTCCTTATATCCAACCTAAATCTCCTCTGTTTAAGTTTGAACCCAAATAAATCTATATATATATTTCTGCCTATAATGGCTACTCCAAGGAACAGTATCTTCTTGATTTCTCCTAATACTCTCTGCCTTTTACCTAATAGACAGATTGGTAAGGGAAGTCATTAACAGGTTCAGATCACATGTTCAATATCACAAATGTCAGGGAAAGAAACCAAGCCCCTGTTTCAAATGATCCAGTTTAACAAACCATACTTTTTTCTGTTTCACGTCGTTGTTAGACCAAGTTCTGTCACACATAATCCATTACATCACCAATACCTTTTCTGCTGGGCTTCATACTGTGCATGAGAGCAGTTTAAAGGACAGAAGCCAATTTCTAAAATAAAACAAGCGGAATCTAGTTTTCTGCGTTACTTCTTTTCATGCAATTTGAGAGTATAAAAGCCTATTACAGAACTGAACATTTTAATTCACAACATTATAAAACAATGATCAGAATAGAAACAGCAATGGGATAAACATATCGGGGGGGGGGAGGGCGGAAGGGGGGAAGAGCTCTTGAAACTAATATTTAGACTAGAGTTTTACCTAGAAGAGAACAGCAATATCACAGCCTCGGAGAAAGGACCACTTGATTTCAGCTGATTAATGTGTTGCTATTTCAAAGGGCCTAATAACTACAAGTTAAAGCTCTGGAGGTTTGGAAGCCGTTTCATCTGAAAATCATTGAAGAGGGGTCCAACTGTTCCTGTCAAGAAGCATGGAGTTTGAACAACCATAAGAGTGGCCCTTTTGACAGCAGTACAAAAGATGAGAGAAGGCAGTCTCAACTGAAAGTAAAAACAAACCCTTAGAAACACGTTTCAAATCTGGTTTTTCTGCCCCTCTGGTTCCAATTTAGGATCTGACTATTAAGAACAGATTTTAGACGGGTGTCTACTAAAGTATGCCCATAAAACATTTGTCACCAGCAAACCCACAGTCATGGGATAGAACATTTTTAAGAGGTTTAGAAACCTGGCATTAGATAAGATTTTCTGTGTAATTTTTCTAAGCAGTAATTAGATAATTTTTTAAGTCTAAAAACAAGCTGCTTTTGACCTGGTAAGACTTTGTGGAGAAGTAAAAGATGCTGTGCTGTGTGACAGAATAATTCTTGGAAAACAACAGAGACGGGAGAAGGAGAGGGATACATTCCATCAGATGGAAAAAATAAAAGTGAAAGGAGATTAAATGCATGCAAGGAACCTGTGGTAAAAGGTTATTTTCTCAGCCCATGTAGGCTCCAATGCTAATGAAATGCCTCATCAGCAGAGCTGTGAAAAATATGATTTGAAACTCCAGGTTTCAAAACCACACACAATTTATCCGGACCCTAAACTACTAACAGCTTCTTCAAAAGTTTCCTTGCGATTTATAAACACAGTCAGTGCAATTCATGCAGCCCAGAGAAAAACTTGAGCTGATACTGCTTTGAATGGCCAATTTATGTGTTGAACTAAACTGAAACACTGATTTGGATTTGAGACACAGAGACATGCTCCCCTTTATTTACAGAGTAGAGGAATTACATATCTTTAACTCATCTCTGGGTTCTGTACTCTCAAGTTGCCATGTTCACACAAATAGA